TAAGATTAATAATTCTAACACGAATTTTCTCGATCTTTCTTATGTTTCTTTTTACTGTTGATGGTAATTGAAAAATCAATTCTCCAAAATTCATTTTTATTTCTAGTCTGACGCGACACTTGAACGCGTTTCGTAATAACTTATTACATTTTCAAAGACTTTTAGTTTACACACACACAACTATTACCTGCAAACACTAACAGAGTTCTTACTTATGCTATGATTGAAATTCTAAAAGTATTTGAAAATGTAATAAGTTATTACGAAACGCGTTCAAGTGTCGCGTCAGACTAGAAATAAAAATGAATTCTGGAGAATTGATTTTTCAATTACCATCAACAGTGAAAAGAAACATAAGAAAGATCGAGAAAATTCGTGTTAGAATTGTTAATCTTACTTTTTCGGTCATATTTAATAATTATATATATATATATATATATATATATATATATATATATATATATATATATATATATATATATATATATATATATATATATATATATATATATATATATACATGGGGGGAACCCTCCATGTTTATATTCTGTTCATATACAGTAATACTTTGTATTCGGTGCCAGTATACAAACTTTTTTGGATGAGTTTGTATTTTGTTGAAACTGTTTCATTGCCAAAGCGCTTCGAATAAATGTATTAAACGAGCTGCCATATATATGTAGAAGCCAACACAGGCATTGACCTCCCCGCACCCGAGTGTCGCGGTGAGCAAGCTTCGGGTCGAGAAGCTGCTAGCAAACTCCAATAGGAATGAGTACCCTCCCAGATGGAAGTGATGAGTACAGGTGAGAGTCTGGGTACTCATCGGGTCTTCGTGACTCAGGGGAGGGTGTAGTGAGAGGCTGTGACACAGCTGGTAGCACAGAGCAAACTTTCAGTGACCGTGTGTGTGGGGTGGGTGTGTGGCAACATCAGGAACGGCAGGATGGTACATGAGTTCAACCAACTAAGTACCACGTATTTTGATGAAAGAAATCAGAGAGTGTGGATATGTGTGACTAAAGTGACTAAATATCATCACTAGTTGACTAAAAATCATCACTAATTGACTAAAAATCATCACTAATTGACTAAAAATCATCTCTAGTTTATTAAAAATCATCACTAGTTCAGACAGAGCCCAACAGGCTTTACAGTCCCACCCACCCAATGCCTTGGACAAAGTGAAACAACAGAATTACACTTACATCGCATCAGGCTTGGATACCCATGTGCATGGGAAATAGGTTTACAGGTTTCAGTAGATGAGAGGAAATGTCAGCACTGTGGAGAAATGCCCGACAGACCACTGGAACATTATCTACAACCCATTCTCCTGTTTAGATAGTACTTTTTTGTAACTATGTTCACCATAGTACACTTATTGACGTACTAAGCAATTAGGTAGAATTTTGTACCATTCACTTCACAGAGTCCGTAACACAATGCAGAGTTACAAATCAAATAAGATTTCAGCCAAGATTCAACAGAGCAGAAGTTGTTAAACACATGGGGGCATAATCTTACTGAAGCGACCATACGAGTCATAAATACTCATATTCCGTCTAAGTAAAACAGAAACAAGGAACACTTAGTGGGCCAGCCAGAGGCTCAGGGCCCGCGCAGGAACATCCCTGCAAAAATAGTAACACATTTCCACAGACAGTACCCACAGCAGCACATGTTTACAAATCCCAACTACAGCCACACACACATTCACACATCCCTCTAACGGCACGCATGTGCGCACAAACATCGCTCTAACGGCACGCATGTGCCCACAAACATCGCTCTAACGGCACGCATGTGCACACAAACATCCCTCTAACGGCACGCAGGTGCCCACAAACATCCCTCTAACGGCACGCAGGTGCCCACAAACATCCCTCTAACGGCACGCAGGTGCCCACAAACATCCCTCTAACGGCACGCATGTTCAAAAAATTCCCCCCAACACCCGCACGAACACAATAACTTTACCCCCATTTTAAACGTTATTTAAAAGCCAATTTCAGCCTTGCCATCGACTGCAATGTAAACATGCCATAATACCCAGCGCCCGATAAGCCTTTTGATCAGTGCAAACACCGAATTAGCTTTTTTTTAGGCTCCACTACTCAGTCCACTTGCAAGTTGATATCAATGGATCCCTCCCATGTTGAGACTTCATGCATGGGAGGCTCAGATTTAACATGGAAAAGAGTCAGAAACATCCCAGATCGACCGAAGGAATGTATTCTTCATATCTTTCATTGCATGCTAATATCATAAATATATATATATATATATATATATATATATATATATATATATATATATATATATATATATATATATATATATATATATATATATATATATATATATATATATATATAATATATATATATATATATTTTACTTGGTTGTAATGCCAAATGTTGCTGTTTAAGTATTCATGTATTCATACTATGTACTCAGTTGTAATATTTTGCACCGTGCAGACACACACATATTTATACATTTAGAAGGAACAGAATTTTATTATATAAACACAAAAGGCGTGTTAAGAATGTGCTGGGAAGAGCCCCCTTTGTCATTCCATTGTAGAGAGAGAGAGAGAGAGAGGAGAGAGAGAGAGAGAGAGAGAGAGAGAGAGAGAGAGAGAGAGGAGAGAGAGAGAGAGAGAGAGAGAGAGATAGAGAGGGAACGGCAGAGAGGGAGCGAGCGAGAGAGAACAGAAGAGAGAGAGGGAGAGAGTGAGAGAGAATAAAAGAGAAGATGAGATTGAAAGTAGGAGAAGAAGGTCTGTCTTTGCATTCGACATTGGAGGCCATACTCTTTAGAGCGAGACTCTCCCCAAATTGGCAGAGTAAATGGTCTGGGGAAGGGGATTAACATAGGCTGACCGGAGTTGCCAGAATTTAATAGGGGACAGCGTGCCAGGGGCCACATTCAGACCCCCCCTCCCTACCACCATATGTGACCCTGCCCGCCAGCTACACAGCTAAGTATTAAAAACAAAACCTTATAGTAATATGAACTATTATTCACTGATCACAGGAAAATTAAGATAAAATTTCTTGCTGTCAGTAATTTGTCCGTACTGGCATAAACACACGATTCTTCCACAGCATCAAAAGGTAACTATTCATATTTTTTGTAGTGATTTAAACTTTTTGTAATTCACACCACTAAGCTCCTGTCAGTGACGATCACCCAAACATTACACAATTATATTTTTTATGAGACAGACAGAAAGACAGAGAGACTCAGAAACAGAGAGGTGAATAGATAGAGGCAGATAGACAGAGACAGATAGGAGACCGATAACACATGACCGATGTACTCGGTCCTGTTTCTGATATACGTGAACGATCTCCCAGAGGGTATAGACTCATTCCTCTCAATGTTTGCTGACGATGCCAAAATTATGAGAAGGATTAAGACAGAGGAGGACAGCTTGAGGCTTCAAGAAGAACTAGACAAACTAAAGGAATGGTCGAACAAATGGTTGTTAGAGTTTAACCCAACCAAATGTAATGTAATGAAGATAGGTGTAGGGAACAGGAGGCCAGATACTATGTATCATTTGGGAGATTAAATTCTACACAAGTCAGAGAGAGAAAGACCTGGGGGTTGATATTACGCCAGACCTGTCCCCTGGAGCCCATATCAAGAGGATAACATCAGCAGCATATGCCAGGTTGGCTAACATAAGAACGGCATTTAGACACTTGTGTAAGGAATCATTCAGAACTTTGTATACCACCTATGTCAGACCAATCCTGGAGTATGCAGCCCCAGCATGGAGTCCATATCTAGTTAAGCATAAGACCAAACTGGAAAAAGTTCAAAGGTTTGCCACCAGACTAGTACCCGAGCCGAGAGGTATGAGCTACGAGGAGAGACTACGGGAATTAAACCTCACGTCGAGAGAAGACAGAAGAGTTAGGGGGGACATGATCATCACATACAAGATTCTCAGAGGAATCGACAGGGTTGATAAAGACAGGCTATTTAACACAAGGGGCACACGCACCAGGGGACACAGGTGGAAACTGAGTGCCCAAATGAGCCACAGAGATATTAGAAAGATTTTTTTTAGTGTCAGAGTGGTTGACAAATGGAATGCATTAGGCAGTGATGTGGTGGAGGCTGACTCCATACACAGTTTCAAGTGTAGATATGATAGAGCCCAATAGGCTCAGGGAACTGTACACCTGTTGATTGATAGTTGAGAGGCGGGACCAAAGAGCCAGAGCTCAACCCCCGCAAGCACAACTAGGTGAGTACATGAGTGTAGGCCTATATAACCCCCGCACACCTGAGGAGCCTAAAAAGAGAATATGGAATAATGGCAAAAACATGCAAGCAAGAGAAGAGAAACAGCTTCACAAATACTGTTGACCAGACCACACACTAGAAATTGAAGGGACGACGACGTTTCTGGAGACGTTTCTGGAGACGACGACGTTTCTGCAAGACGATGACTTGCCAGCAGTATTCACAAATACTGCTGGCAAATATACACCTCTGCGTCTATATCTATTTTGTACATAAATTTATACCCCTCAATTCTGACCAATTATAAAACTGTCAAATGTATGGAATCCTGGACTTACATTTGTATTAACTTACTACTTTATATAACTGAAGTTTCAACAATATTTCTTTAGCTAACAGATGTACACAGCAACGTTGCATGAGTTATATCTATCAGAAAGATTTTTTCTGATAGATATAATACGTAATTCGGATTTCATTGTGGAAATACTATCATATCTGTTGACCAGACCACACACTAGAAGGTGAAGGGACGACGACGTTTCGGTCCGTCCTGGACCATTCTGGATATGGCTACTATCATATCTGACATCAGTCATTGCTTGACTGCTCATATCAGTGACCCATCATCCTTACAACCATTCTTAATCCCTCTTGTCTTCCCTCCCACCTAAACCTTCCCTTCCCTCCCATCAAGCCCCTTCCCTTCCCTTCCATCTAGCACAAAAATGTTATCAAGAAACATTCAGAGAGCAGTCGTACTCAGCGTAGCGTCTTGGTAAGCTGGCTTCTCTTCCTCGTCTCGGTAAGCTGGCTTCTCTTCCTCGTCTCGGTAAGCTGGCTTCTCTTCCTCGTCTCAGTAAGCTGGCTTCTCTTCCTCGTCTCAGTAAGCTGGCTTCTCTTCCTCGTCCTAGTAAGCTGGCTTCTCTTCCTCGTCTCAGTAAGCTGGCTTCTCTTCCTCGTCTCAGTAAGCTGGCTTCTCTTCCTCGTCTCAGTAAGCTGGCTTCTCTTCCTCGTCTCAGTAAGCTGGCTTCTCTTCCTCGTCTCAGTAAGCTGGCTTCTCTTCTTCGTCTCAGTAAGCTGGCTTCTCTTCCTCGTCTCAGTAAGCTGGCCTCTCTTCCTCGTCTCAGTAAGCTGGCCTCTCTTCCTCGTCTCAGTAAGCTGGCTTCTCTTCCTCGTCCTAGTAAGCTGGCGTCTCTTCCTCGTCTCAGTAAGCTGGCTTCTCTTCCTCGTCTCAGTAAGCTGGCTTCTCTTCCTCGTCTCAGTAAGCTGGCTTCTCTTCCTCGTCTCAGTAAGCTGGCTCTCTTCCTCGTCTCAGTAAGCTGGCTTCTCTTCCTCGTCTCAGTAAGCTGGCTTCTCTTCCTCGTCTCAGTAAGCTGGCTTCTCTTCCTCGTCTCAGTAAGCTGGCTTCTCTTCCTCGTCTCAGTAAGCTGGCTTCTCTTCCTCGTCTCAGTAAGCTGGCTTCTCTTCCTCGTCTCAGTAAGCTGGCTTCTCTTCCTCGTCTCAGTAAGCTGGCTTCTCTTCCTCGTCTCAGTAAGCTGGCTTCTCTTCCTCGTCTCAGTAAGCTGGCTTCTCTTCATCGTCTCAGTAAGCTGGGCTCTTCCTCACAAGAGGAGCAGACTCAAGGAGTTATATTATGATTGTGTGTGTCGTGAGTAATCCATCATTCTTGCCTCATGGCAGGCGTGACAGCGTCGCCTGGCGTATCTCCCCCTAAAGCACCAGGCGCCGGTTCTTTCAGTCAGATGCTGCTACTGCCGCTGCTGCTCGTCTCCGCGAGCCGCTTCAAGTCGACTCCCTCGTGACGAGTGATGATAAAGAGAGGTTTGGGGGTGTCGAACCGCTTCAAGTCGACTCCCTCGTGACGAGTGATGATAAAGAGAGGTTTGGGGGTGTCGAACCGCTTCAAGTCGACTCCCTTGTGACGTGTGATGATTAAGAGAGGTTTGGGGGTGTCGAACCGCTTCAAGTCGACTCCCTTGTGACGAGTGATGATAAAGAGAGGTTTGGGGGTGGTCGAACCGCTTCAAGTCGACTCCCTCGTGACGAGTGATGATAAAGAGAGGTTTGGGGGTGTCGAACCGCTTCAAGTCGACTCCCTCGTGACGAGTGATGATAAAGAGAGGTTTGGGGGTGTCGAACCGCTTCAAGTCGACTCCCTCGTGACGAGTGATGATAAAGAGAGGTTTGGGGGTGTCGAACCGCTTCAAGTCGACTCCCTCGTGACGAGTGATGATTAAGAGAGGTTTGGGGGTGTCGAAGAGCCTCAACCAGTTCTCACCGCAAGTCAACTGTGACACTTGAAGTGGTTTTGCCACATCTAGAAGTAAGTATATGAACCGCTGTGCAAACTCGTCTAGTGTATCGAGAGCGGTGTACGCAATATCCCAAGGAAACGTTATTTAGGCTCCAGTTTTTTCTTGTTTACCTTGTATATCACTTATGTCAGACCAATCCTGGAGTATGCAGCTCCGTCCTGGACTCCATACTTAGTTAAACCACAAGCCAAAGTTAAAGAATATTCAGGAGGTATGCCACCAGATTAGTCCAAGAACTGAGAGGTATGAGCTACGAGGAAAGGCTACGGGAGCTAAACCTCACGTCCCTGGAAGACAGAAGAGTAGTGGGAGACATGACAACCACCTACAAATTTCTCAGGGGAATTGACAGGGTGGACAAAGACAACGTGTTATCTTATCTTGAGGTTATCTTGAGATGATCTCGGGGCTTTAGTGTCCCCGCGGCCCGGTCCTCGACCAGGCCTCCACCCCCAGGAAACAGCTCGTGACAGCTGACTAACACCCAGGTACCAATTTTACTGCTAGGTAACAGGGGCATAGGGTGCAAGAAACTCTGCCCATTGTTTCTCGCCGGCGCCCGGGATCGAACCCGGGACCACAGGATCACAAGTCCAGCGTGCTGTCCGCTCGGCCGACCGGCTCCCCGACCGTGTGGTGTGTGTGTAAATAACAGTTACACTCATACATATGCCACGTGTGGTTTAATATGTAAGCCACGAAATTCAGGGTGATGTTCAGGAAGCCTTGGACGAGGGACTCCAGTCATACCCTCCCGTGTCCCTATAACAACATGGGCTAACAATAATAGTGCTGGTGGTTGAAATGGAAATTGGTGGTAGTTGTGGAGATAGTAGGTAGCACTATGCATCCATCAGTCTCAGGAGACTATGAAGTTGCGCTCTGGTTGTCGGTCTGGAGTGGCTTCTCTAAGGCGCAAGGCCCGAGGAGGTTGATACGAGGGATAAGCTGTCACCCATGCAGTAGGTCCCCCGCCTCTCCACGGCGCCGAAAGTCTCCAATGGAAAGGCAAACGCCAGTACGATTTCAGCGCCGTCGCAGGAACTGTCAGAACGAGATTGAAGGCAACAAAGAACTGCCCTAGAGGGGCTCCAGCTCTGGAGGTTACCACGAATCAAGCAAAAGAAGATCATGGACTCCAAACCCGGAGACCGCCGTGGTCGGGGCTGGAGAAGAACCACCCCAGCAAGGGCAAGAACGACCCCAGCCTCCTGAAAGACAGCAGCTAGTAGTTGTGTGTTAGTAGGTATATTCCCCAGCACTCTTTTTCGTTCTATATTGATTAGCGTAACAATTAATTTTTTTATCGATACGAAATGACCGGTGAGTAGTAGGGAGACCTATAGGTTATTTATCAACTCATCTTCTGTGTATATAGAACCTGTAGATAGGACTTGTAGATAGGACCTTTAGATTGGACTTGTAGCAATAACAGTGACTGCATTTACTGATGATAATATTAATATATTTTATCTGAATTACAATACACTTTCTGATCTCCTTCATTTGTTTCTTCTCTCTCTCTCTCTCTCTCTCTCTCTCTCTCTCTCTCTCTCTCTCTCTCTCTCTCTCTCTCTCTCTCTCTCTCTCTCTCTCTCTCTCTCTCTCTCTCTCCTTCTCCTCCTCTCTCCTCTCGCATAATGGAGCCAGCTTTACGACTGCGAGAACTTGGTGTATTTCACTTTAATCTCTCCTGGAAGGAATTCATTCACAGTTTATTCTGCCAAGCACGAAAATTATCATGTTATCTCTGATGAATAAATCTCTTCTCCTTTCCCAGTAGGCAAGACATTTTTGCATTTTCCTATTTTTCTTAATATTATATGTAAGTGAAGTTGTGTTGGAGATAAGATAATGTTTCTGCATTTAATATTGTCTTTAGGGGGTTTGTGTGTTTGTGTGATTGTGTGTGTGTGTGTGTGTGTGTGTGTGTGTGTGTGTGTGTGTGTGTGTGTGTGTGTGTGTGTGTGTGTGTGTGTGTGTGTGTGTGTGTGTGTGTGTGTGTGTGCTCTTACTTTTTACCTAACTAGTTCGTTCGTAACTGAATTTTATGACAAGATCCTCAGCGTCTGGTTCCGTCTTTACAAAAGCCGGAGGTCTGGAGAAAAACCTCTTGACCTCTTTGTTTTTCTATGTCATATCTGCTTTTAAAAATACGTTAACCTGGGTACACAGAAGTACCAGGAATTTGTTTATCGACATATATAGGTATATGAGCATTTATGATGTTACCTCTTAGACTATATGAAGGTTTGTGTAGTGTCTCGAGCTATTTGATAATAAAAATAATCCCATCTCGCAGGATAGTTCGTCACTCAGCGGTCACTCAGGGGTCACTCAGGGGTCACTCAGGGGCAAGAGATCAGTAGCTAAAGTTGGAAGACATTGATTACATTATGAAGTCATGTTCAAGAACATGAGCGTGATTAACATGAAACAGAATGGTTAATAAACTAGAAAATCACAATCTCGGATATTATTCCTTCACGAGTGTGAATAAAGTAATTGCAAAACCTCCAGGCACTTAACAGCGACAGTTCGTAAAGGTCTAATGACTGGACATTCAATAATGTAGTGGGGAATTAAG